CTGTCATTACACACCGAGAACCCAGCGGTGCTGCCATGATATCACGGCGGCACCGCCAGGTTCTCAGTGTGTTATAACAGTTCAGCATCTCCTGGTTACCTAGTAACCAGGGGACGCTGGACTGTCATGAGAGCTTGTCGGAGCCGGCTTTGATATCACTGCCTGCTCCGACAAGAGTAAATATCAATGATATTTATCGATCCTCCGTTCGGCCACGCACAGAGCCGCTGTCATCCGGAAACTGACAGGATGACAGCGGCTCCGTTCTCCTCACCGCTCAGCCATCCTGAAACTTCTCCCCGCCAGCCGACACTTGCTCCTTGGTCCCCTGGAGATTTTTTTTTAGTCCGTTGCCACAGCTACTACAAGTGGGGGACAGCAGCGGGGATCCATGGAGTCACAGATCCCTGCCTGTAGCGGCTCCAGGCAGGGATGAGAGGCTCCAGATGCCGGCAATTTTTCCCATTGATTTGATTTTCAACTGCTGCGTTGCTAGCGTTTGTAAAAGTCCCCCCAAACCATATCTTTTCTGTAAGTGCGGGCCCGGTAGAAAAAAAGATGGTGCTACTAAATTTGTAGGCCCTGCGATAATTGCGCAAATGTTTCTTAGATTAATATTAAACTGATAAAAATACACAATTCAATTGATAAAACACACTAAAATCAGTATCGGCGCACACAAAAAAAAAATTCTGACTAAATCTAGAAGATAAAACTGTATTGAGTTCATGAATATCAAATATTTGCAAATCTGAAATTGCGCCTTTTTGCGAAAAGGTAAAAAAATGAAAGTACGTAAAAATGTAAAAAAGCGACTTATGTTAAAAAATTGTTTTACGCTGTGTTGGTGTTTGTGTTGTGATAAAATTATAGAGGCGTATATTTAATTGCAACACAAAGATCACAACGCATGGCAATGCGTCACAAAGCTTTGCCATGCGCTGCCACAGTTAATTTTTTTTTTTTTTTAAAGAAAAAAAATTCATTAAAAAAATAATGCACTGTGATGCGTTCTAACACCTCAATATGTGTATGTTATGTGGGTGGAGGGAGGTGGAGGGAGAGGGGGACAGCAGCGGAGATCCATGGAGGCCAGCAGCAGTGGTGCCAGCGAGGGGCGCCCAGTATTTGCGTTAATATCGTTCATCAGAGGCTCGTGAGCCGCTGATGACAGCTATTAATTTGAAGTGGACAGTCCGGGGAACAGTTCTAGTATAAGCTCATGGTCGCTAAAGCGACCATGAGCTTATAGCAGAACTGTAAATGCCAGGTTCGTATATCATACGTCCTTGGCCAGCCGGGAACTCCTCCGTACAACATACGTCCTTGGCAGGGAAAGGGTTAATGCAGTCACCACATCTAAGAGCTAGTAAGCTGCAATATATTTTTGTTTTAGGTGTAGATATGCTTACATTTTTTTGTCTCTGCCCACTTTCGCCACTATATCATATGCTTCATAAAGCTGAAGAGCAGAAGCTCCTACTGTATCCTAGGAACAAAGAACAAAGTTTTTTCCCTGGACTTAGAGACAGACTTAAGTATAATCTAAACCTAATTACTAAAATATCATATAGGCTTTACCATTGTTAACAAAAGTTGTTTTCAGTCTTTTTGATCACCCAGTGCAATTAGTGGGAACTACAGGAGGCCATGCCGACACATTTTTCTATCGCCCATTGAGGGACACATCATTCTTAGTCCATGTTCACACATCTATGATACAACATCCCAGAGTTGCTGCAGGCTTGGAGTTAACAAAGTTAACCTGACAGAGTGAGGATGAAATCCTCAGCATGGGATGAAGAATTGCATGCATTCCTCGTCTTCATTCTCATCAGGAAACTGTAAGCTGCAAACGCCAGACTGTGTATAGTTATGCATTGCGCAGCAACCAATTCTACCAATAAAATCAAAACATAAATCCAAACAATGCAATAAATGTCTTTCCAACTGTGTGAAAATATTAAATAAAGATAATTGTCCGCAAATGTTGAAGTAAATTGTCGTACAATCCATCAACAGTGTCCAATCAAACCCATGTGAAAAAACATCCTTCAAATTCTGTTCTTTCGTTACCATCAATTAGGATATCGGTAAATTCCACCGTGCGTAAATCATATAAAGGTCCGCACTCTCCAGAGTTTTTTCAGGTTGGTCAAAACAGCCAATGTAGTAATATCCTTTGATCTTCCTATCTCGTCTTTTCTGATGCCTTTCTCCTCCAACCAGAAGTCTGCAGCTCCCCAATCACCCAGAAAACATTACAAGATCATTGTGTATTATATTTTTAAAAAGTGCTTTATTTAGAAAGATTAAAAACACTCACATATTCCTCATAGGAAAATCGCTTAAATGACAATATTGGACTCCCGTCTGTCCCGGCCTCAGAGAGTATGGATCCACAATATAATGAGCTCAGCGTGTGGCCGCGCATTGATGCGTTTCGTCATACGACTTCCTCTGAACGGCGTCCACGCTGAGTTCATGGAGGCTACTTACATTCATTTATAGAACTAACTAAGTGCATTATTCTAATTCAAACACTAGCTATCTCTCTAAATGTAAATGCACATACATATTAACCCTCCAGCATGTACAAATTGAAACAGTGTGGCAAATTACTAATAAATGTTAAACTAATAACAAATTAAACCAACATTAAAAGCACCAGTCTGATAAGCATACAGGTGTCCCACCTTTTTATTGTTACAATTTAGATCGAACTCTACATTTAAACCTCCAGGTCTAAGGGTATTCAGAGTATAGATCCAT